CGGACGGACGACGGACGCCGCGCCACGGCATAAGCTCACTTGGCACTTCGTGCCAGGTGAGCTAAAAATTGAACCCAGGTTATTGTTTAGGTCTATGAATCAACCCAATGTGGTACCAGTGTACATAGAATAAAATGTTTTATGAAATTACCTTCAATTCTGATGTCCGTTTCATATTGACGTATCGGAGATCCTGAGAGAACATTATTTTGGTTTGAACCTCTGTCACTTCTGGTTCTGCTTCTTCCCTCCGTTGATGTACCCCGTCCTGTCATTAAGAAGCAAACGAAACAGTTCAAACTTCATAAGGTACATCTCCAAAATATCTTGTGTGTCACTCGTGTAAAAATTCTATATCATATGATATGCACCTATTGAACAATAGCAAGGCTGAACTTAGTGAAGAGAAACAAATTCTTGATATTTGTAAATAGAATTGTGTCATGGTCAGATAATTCAACCTAGATCAATGTATTCAAACCCAGATCAATTTATTCAAACCCAGATCAATGTATTCAACCCAGATCAATGTATTCAATCTAGATCAATGTATTCAACCCAGATCAATGTATTCAACCCAGATCAATGTATTCAATCCAGATCAATGTATTCAACCCAGATCAATGTATTCAACCCAGATCAATGTATTCAACCTAGATCAATGTATTCAACCTAGATCAATGTATTCAACCCAGATCAATGTATTCAAACCCAGATCAATGTATTCAATCCAGATCAATGTATTCAATCCAGATCAATGTATTCAACCCAGATCAATGTATTCAACCTAAATTAATGTATTCAAACCCAGATCAATGTATTCAACCTAGATCAATGTATTCAACCCAGATCAATGTATTCAACCCAGATCAATGTATTCAACCCAGATCAATGTATTCAACCCAGATCAATGTATTCAACCCAGATCAATGTATTCAACCCAGATCAATGTATTCAACCCAGATCAATGTATTCAACCCAGATCAATGTATTCAACCTAGATCAATGTATTCAACCTAGATCAATGTATTCAACCCAGATCAATGTATTCAAACCCAGATCAATGTATTCAATCCAGATCAATGTATTCAATCCAGATCAATGTATTCAACCCAGATCAATGTATTCAACCTAAATTAATGTATTCAAACCCAGAAGCCCTTTTGGTTACTGGATCAATGTATTCAATCCAGATCAATGTATTAAACCCAGATCAATGTATTCAACCTAAATCAATGTATTCGAACCCAGATCAATGTATTCAACCTAGATCAATGTATTCAATCCAGATCAATGTATTAAACCCAGATCAATGTATTCAACCTAAATCAATGTATTCAAACCCAGATCAATGTATTCAACCTAGATCAATGTATTCAAACCCAGATCAATGTATTCAATCCAGATCAATGTATTCAACCCAGATCAATGTATTCAACCTAGATCAATGTATTCAAACCCAGATCAATGTATTCCACCTAGATCAATGTATTCAAACCCAGATCAACGTATTCAATCCAGATCAATGTATTCAACCCAGATCAATGTATTCAACCCAGATCAATGTATTCAGCCTAGATCAATGTATTCAAACCAGATAAGTGTTTTCAACCTAGATTAATCTATGCAACCTAGTAAGGTTAAAATCATAGTTGTAAATCATGTCTCATTTCTAATATGCTGCAGTGTCAAGGGAGCATAAAAATACCTGTAAAGTTGAGGATGCTTATAAAAATTATTTTTAAATTATAACATGTTCAAAATCTTGTGACTTACAGTGTCTACTCTGGTGTTGTCCTATTTACTTCATGTGTTTTTCTTGTTTTCTTCCCTATCTGCCATCTTATATTATAATGTCAAAATAATTCACAGTCTAAATCTCTACATTTTCACATACCACTTTCTGGGTCTTGACCATGTTGAAGTAAAATTCATCTGGATTTCTGCTCAAAGCTTTCCTTTTCAGAGCTTTAATGGAGTTCTGCTGTCTCTTGTAGTCACTGTAAATAAAGGTTGTTAATTATTTTTACTACAGTATTAATCACCAATTGAATTAATATACGATTTATGTATTTCAGATCTTATTTTGAAAAACCAAAGATCTACAAATCATAAAGTTTGGTCTGTAGTTTAATCCTTTAATTACTATCAATGTTTCTACCAAAATTACCTTTAAACTGGAAATTGTCCTGAATTCCTTCCAGACCAGCTAAATTACTGACTACATGTAGATCATCTAGAGCCATTACTACAAACTACCCGATAGCACTTCTTCAATATTATTTCGTAAAACTTAATTATACAGCATAACTATTTTTTTTTACTGAAATTACAAATTTTTAAGTGTTATTTATAAATTAGTAGACCTAGAACACTGACAGGTCAGTAAGGGCTCTGCCATGTGCCTAACTGTCTATATCTCCCATAATCACCAAACAGAAGTCAAAGTGAATATCATTTTGCATTATGAAATAGAAGAAATAATGTGTTACATAAGGGTTGAAGGATGCATAACCCCCATGGTCTATTTTTGGTAACACTGATGATGACCTTGATACTGACCTTAATAACTTTTAAAACCCCTATTGCACTTCTATATACAAACAATATCACCAAGTCAAATTTCAACAATTTCTGAGACGAATGGACAGACAAAACACTGTAATTACTGTGATGCCAGTGTTATTCTTACCTAAATTTTACAACAGCCTGTTCCTTTATGAATTGGGAAAATAAAGCATCATTTGTATTGGAAATGGGAAGATATTCCTCAGTTTTTGGTCATTTTGAGAAAATAAGGCACGTTTTAGTGTATTCTGTAGTAAAACTGAACTAAATAAATTCACTGGATGCGGGGCCCTAATTGTTCACATAAGGAGATTTATGCGTCAGTGTATTGGTGTATACCCTAGATCTGTAAAAGCACTCTATGCCTCAGTGATTAAGTTGATGACTTACTCAGCTCTGGCTTTGTAATCCTTCTTCTTCTCCAAGTACCCCAATTTAGCTCTAGCAGCCGGCTTCAAAACAAATTGTAAATTAAATGTTTGAATTTTCATGAACAACACAAACCATACACTAATTCTATATATAAGACTACTGCATAGTGTATACATTGCATACATTTATTTCTCTCATTTCCCTGTGTGTAAGATAGAGCTGTCCAGGGTAAGAAATGGGTGTAGGAAATTTCTATCTTACACCCCTTTTCACGTAACGTGACAATGGCTCAACAATGACGTGACGTCACGAATTTGGAACTCTCCGATGCCGCAATACGGAAAAGGTGACGTGATGAAATTAAAACCTTTTACAATATATTTACCGTACATGTTAGAAAGATGTGATTAATTTTTCTGCCCAAACATTGCAAAATTGCGATATGCTTGATCTGGCTGGCTGATTTGTTTTCGTCTAAAAAGCTCCGGGGAAAAATTGATATTTTTAAAATGGTGGCCAGTCCAAACGCATTTACATGGTTTCTGGGCTTATTCTGGTGGTTGGAATGAGAGAAAAATACTCTTTCATGCCCAATGGTGTAGGAAAGTGAAATTCCACCCTCAGGATTTTCAAATTTGGCAAAACCCTCGGCACAGCCGCAGGTTTTACTAAATTTGAAAACCCTTTTGGTGGAATTGCCCTATCCTTCACCCCTGGGCATGAAAGAGTCTTATAATATTGTCAACAAAGTATACAGAACTAAGTCTACCTGCATTTATGAAACATGTATATATTTAAATGAATGTTGATCATCTGGAGTGTGCAGGGGATTTTGATTCTGATTCAGTTTTAATATTTTGAAAATTTTGACCATGCTGGATTAAGTGAAACATTATCAATATAAATACATATGTATACCGCAACAGTCACTCTTCAAAGTAAAACTAACAAGGGTCTTCAAGCGACAACAAACAACACCTGAATTTTTTTCCCTTAAAATACTTACTAAGCGACATCAGAAGAAGTGTTATTCGTTTGACTACCATACACATATATGCAAGTTTAAGCTCAATATCTGTGGAAAATTACCAAGCTCTTGATCTGATGAAATCATTTTTTTTTTACAATCGCTGACATGCCATAATTGAGTTCATAGAACTCTAATGATCATAGAGTGTCTTTAGACTTTATCTCTCAAAAAGTCAATAAAATAAACAACATCAGAATATATATGTCGTTTAAAGTGTCATATAACATATCTTTTGATGTCAATTAGTTTATTTAGATATTATCTAACAATGTTTAGTAATTAAACTGTAACATGCTGCCGATCATAAAAATTTAATTCATCATAACATGGTCAATTTTTCGAATATAAAACTGACATCGTTAGGTATCCAAGTTTTGAGGTGCTGAAATTTCTGGTCATATTTTCTGGCTAATAATGTATTTTTTTCAATGTAAACAGAGACATATATATTATGTAATATATACGTCTCTGCTGTAAAAGCCAAATAAAAATGTGATGTAACATTAATTATTTCCTTGGAACAGTTTGTCATGTCTTGTAAACTACACAATTTTAAAGAACAGAAAATGCTGTTGATTTTTGTTTCAACATACAGCATCACCCACAGCCCATGGGTTCGTTAAAATGTCTAAAATACATGTACACATATATAAGCTATACTGATATGGGTCGAAGTACGCCTAGGTTTATGCTTAGGTGTGCTGACCCATATCAGTACAGCATATGTGGGGTATTTTAGACACCTGTGCATCACCTGATCACCATGGTGGCCTGAGTGATTTTCGGAATTTACATTAAAAAGTGTAGAAACGCATTTAATATAAAGAAAAAAGAGAATGTGACTTTTATATTGACACAGGACTGGATAATTCATCTGTCGATCAAAATTAAGGGCTAGGACCACACATCGCAAATCGGGAACGGTTTGTCTCTGATCAGCGATCGCGAACAGTTCAAAGTTGAGAAGATCAAAACCATAACTTTTGTACTGTTCGCACTGTTCTTCCAGTCGTTGTAAGTCTTTGACTTGTGAGACTGTCCTATATCTTGTTGTCATCGATGCTTTATGGTATGCGCATATTTGTTGGTGATAAGTTTTAAAGTTAAAAGTAGTGTGTTGATTAAAAAAAAAAAATCAATGTACAATTAAGATTCCTGATATATACAGGTCTAGTACACTCTGCCGATTGAGCTATATAGCTGTAAAGACCTATAATAGCTCTATTGACCTATCTGAAATAGGTCTTTAGAGCTATTTTCATGTGATTTTCTTTTTTAAGGAAAACGAAACAAAGTCGATTTTAAAAGAAGATTTTATCATTATGTTGATAACAAAAGACATCAAATATAAGTATTCTTTTTAAAAAATAATGATGTAAACAAATCAAAAATTTCACATTTATGAAAAATGAAAATAAACATCTTACTGTATGCTTTTTGTAGTCACCTTATTGTTTAATGCGACTTTGCTTTAATTTAATGAGATTTGTAATCTGAGAAAATATAGCTCAATATAGCTATAATTTATAGGTGAATATAGCTATATAGGTCTTTATAGCTATATAGCTCAATCGGCAGAGTGTACTGGACCTGATATATGCAGACGTGTTGAGGTAGCGAAACAATTTCACTAACAGACTAACCCGCTGCCAGCAACATTAACTGCGGATTAGATCGTGACCGTAAAGTTCATTTTTCCAATGTAACGACTGTTGAGGATAGCAAATAATGTTACTATCCTTCCATTGTCCGTTTCTATCCACTATGTACACTAGCTGGGTAAGCGACACATTCTGGAATTCAAGAAGTCTCCACGCTCTATTTGAATGAATGATCATACTCGTCTCTTACTTCTCTATGGTTAGTTAAGCCGGTTCTCTAACCCACAACTCCAAAAACTTATAAATACCTGGCTTCTCTCCCTGTGTTCCCTCGCCCTTGCTTTCTCCAAATTCCTCAATGACGCCATTTTAGCCTTAAATTACCTCGATACTAAATATTTCAGACTGTTTGTCAGTTTGTCCACATGTGTTGATTTCAACAGGATGTAATACATTTCACTCCTCTACACTGAAGAGCTACGATACAGAACGGTGCGTTCGAGTGGGTAGATAAGATAATAAAGTTTGGTTCGTACAGAAATCAAACGAAGGACGAAAACTCTTCCCAAATGACACGTACAGTTTTAAAGTTATTTCTTTATTGTAAATGATCACATGCATCAGGGCATCAGTCCTTTTTATTTTATTTAAACGACTGTTTAAAAGGAACTGAATCCTTAATTTACTTTATACACAAACAATGTACGTAATAAACATGTTCCAACGTTTCCAGACCGAATGGTCCCTTTGTGAAGCTATCACTGAATGATGTGACGAATTTGTATATTTTATATGTAACTCGACCCGGAATGTTTCATCTATCGACAGACAGTTACTGTGTCGAGTAGGTTACTGGTAGGGTGTAGATCTAGCCCCTCTCTCGTTTGCCGTCATGACCAGGTCAGCAGTGGGTCATACAGATGACTCAGCTGGTGTCCCCCCTCGTCTCTGTTCGTGGTTAAAGCTTTCCTGATTTGTATTGCTTCTTTGGTTTGTCTCGATTTCGTATGCTGTTCCCTGTCAACTATTTTGCATTGTCACAATGGGTGATGTGATTTGGGGGCTAAGCGTGAGCTGTGAATGTCGATTTAAGAACATCAAAGGAACATAGAGAAAATAAGCAAAACCAATTTTACCAGAAACACACGGAACTTAGTAGTCCTTCATGCTAGCATGCTGTTGGACCAAGACTGTCACCCGGTCTTGCACTTGAGCAAACCAAATAGACCTTCATCCCAGCATGCAACAGACCAAATATTACCACCCTAGGCATTTTGGTTATTCAGAAGAAGTCATTTAATCATTTTACGCATTTAACCTTCACGATCTAGAATTTTTGCTTGCCCTTTATAAATATTATTATCATATGCCTCATGATTATTAAGAAGTCGTTTAAAGTATAAAGTGACGCCAGGCGGACGAACTGAAGACAGAGTGTTGAGCGGACGACAGACATTGCATCATGGGATAAGCTCAGTTGACCCTTCGGACCAGGTGAGCTACAGTTTGATTGTAAGTAATATCTGGTTTACACAGGTAACCAAATTATTACAGAAGAGAGGTTGATAATTACAGTATTTTTTAATATATATATATATATATAACACATTTCAAACGTTTGGCTCTTTGTTCAGATGTCAGCAAATCGGGGATCTATCGGGCACAAAGCTTTTTGTTTTTAAATTTCGAGCACTTTCAGATGTCTGGTTTACACAGGTTACCACCCAATGTAGATAAATGTCTGGTTTACACAGGTAGCCGATTTATTACCGGCCTCTGTTAATAAATACCTGGTTTAAACATGTCTACTATAATTTATTACAGTTTTAGACGACAATTCTAACCCTAACTTTCACGTATGGTCACTGAGCGCATGCGCAGGTGGTCTATAGTGTGATTGATTTCTTTGAAATACAACTGGGTGCGCATTGTATTTCATGTCCTGCACTTGGTCAGAATGTGATGCGTACGGCTTTCTGAAATGCTAACCATATGAACTCTTTCGGAAACAGTAAAATGACCATTATCCTTAATTATTGCTTTCACAGTTGCAATGTTCTTCCTTGCCATGTGTCCTCTTTGTTTCAAATGTGTCAATCGGAAACCTCCGGCACTTTACATAAACGAGAAAATACTCGTTTACGGAAAGTGCCGACGGTTTCCGATTGGCACATTTTCCTTGTTAAGGTGATATACAATCAAATCATAATTCCATTGAGTCATGCAACGTCGTAGACTTTTAGAAACAGCCCTATATACCTCTGATTTGTATTAAACAAATTAACCAACTCATTTATTGTGTTTTGAATTATTTAGACTTTGAAAGTTTGTACATAAAATCTACATGTACGCAGAAACTGTATTACCATATACTATCCTTTAGGACCGGGTTGGGAGATAGAAACATATCAGATCTGACACATTTGACTCTGACCAGACCAAGTAATCTGGATCAAGGTTACAGATAGGGTCAACGAAATTCTCTGAAAGAACCTTCTTTAATTTTATCTTCACAGAAGTTATACAGAGAATATTAAAATGTTGGTTCTTTTCAATCTTGTCATAGGTTATGATAAACTCGATAATTCTCCAATCCAGCACGTTACAGACCAGTTATCAGGACTGTTGAGCTTGTAGATCTGCTTTGATAGTCTGACGGATGACGTCAGAAAATGGACGGTCGAATAGACTACGAAAGCTGTGCGCTAGTCAACCAGAAGTTTCCGCCTGCATGATGAGCTCATTTTCAATCGGAAATGATGTAAACAAAAAAGGTATAATCTAATGTTAATTGGATATCATGTTTAAATATGAATGTTTAAATCATACTAAATGCCAATATTTACCCTTTATATATGAATTAATTTCTGTATTTCTAATAAAATAATAATATGGATGTGTGTGATACAGCTTTGTCTCCTGGTTAAACTGATACTAAATAAAAATCTTTTCAGTGTAGAAAATTCGAAAACCATATAAAGAGTTTCATAAATTACATAGAACTTTACACTTTTTTTCTCTGTTGAAAAATGCGTCAGTATTGTGTCTATCTGTTAGTAGAATTTGTCATAAACATACCCTGTCTCAAGCATACACACACGCAAGCACACATACACTACAAACATGGAGGCCGTCCTTAAATGGCCTTAGCTTATTAATACGACGTTAAACAAAATTAAACCAAACCAAACCAAACTTTTGTCATACGTAGCGAGACATTATGAAGTTTGTTTGAACCATTCTTCTGCCGCGATTTCCTTGCATGTATAGAAGTATCCAATATTGATATGTCAATGCTGGTCTGGCTTAGCAGGTACATGAATTGCTCATCATGGGTCATCCTCTAGTCTCGAAGGAAATATATTCAGCGTAAACAACGTTTTAACAACTTCACCCGTTGACGCTATTACATCCAGAATGCAGTCCACATTTTCTTTTCTTTCAAGCGAGATTTCCGAAGAGTCAAAATCATTATCCTTTACTGTAATACATTGTCTTATCTGACATCGTGTCTTATCTAAGAAACAAACTGGATATAACAGAGCAAATGAATATATATGCTTCGTACTAATGTAACTATTGGTATTTATACAAACTCATAATATATTATGTGAATTTTATGTAAGCATTGAACTAATTTCGGTTGTCATTCAAAGGCAATATGAATGAATTGACATTTATATTGCCTATGAATGCCAACCGAAAGCAGTTCAATACTTAAATTAACAATTTTTGGAATCCGTTTTTTCTTCTAGAAAATTCAATTACACATATCATTATGCAGCATTTAGCTTTAAATTGTATTTATCGCTTAAGATTGTTCAATTAATCTAGCATTAATCTGTTCATGGAAGGTCAATGGTTTCCATCGTAACACTTATGACTTAATAATAACGATGATGTCAACAATCGGTTCATGGCATTCATAGCATACATGAATGCCATCTGAATGTGATAGAGCTATATAAATTGGCATTTCCACACGGTGTTAAATATAGTTAAATATCAATATATGATTGGTAATACTAGCAACGAAATAGTCCTTATAAAACAGTACAGTGTATTAAACGGCCTCACTTAAAATGTTTGTCATCATGTGTGTTCTATTTATAAATACACAGGGATCAAGTCAACAGTAAACAGCATTACGTAAAGCAGAGTGTTCCGGGTTCGTCAGATTAACTTTCTATAATGACTTAATTAGTCTGTTGCATGTCATGTAGGGTAACAGCACCTGCTACAGACATGGGGAAACACTCGGGGTTTTGTCTGACTGTATTCTTTGCTGGGCTTCTTAATATTGACGGTAAGTGCAGTACGGAGTCGAGAATATACTCTTTTAACACATGATATGCGCATATTTGCTTAAGAATCGTGTATACTTTTCCCAGGAAGTAGCAGATAATTAGTTTCAAGTTTCAAGTTTTATTCGAACTTCAGGCCATTGGCCCATCAGTATACAATACATATTATACGCAAATCATGGACAATGTACAGAGAATGAAGACGATCATATTCTATTATAATACCCTTCATTTGTTTGCCTCATAGATGAATTTTCCTAGCATACACAATTCTTTAATATTATGGACACTCAATAACTGAACGGCTTTAAACACAGATGTTTTTTTCCAATAATAGCTTTTGATAAAACGTGATCTAAGATCATTAAGACATGGTACGTTAGAAGTGATTAAAGTTATAACACAGCGCTATACACCGCGGGATCAGAGGATGTTGTGTATAAACACAATGTCCATTAAAGTCATCTAATTTTAGCTTCAAGCCATTTTTCGTCCGATCCAGATTAGATATTATTTCAATGCTATTTTTAAATGCATATCTAAATTCATCAAATGGCTAATGGTTTTTGTTTACATGTTGTGAAAATACCCATGAAATAAATGTAATGTAGTTTCGGCTTACTTCCTAATGTATTATATATAATAACCTTCGTGAGGTCAGAATTCTAACACAATGGACATGACGTCATAACCTCGTGACGTCACGTGCGAAATATAAGAAGTGACGTCAAAACGGCAATATTAAAGATTTTGCACAATGGTCAGAGAAAAGATATTATTTATTTAATATTTATTATTTATTTAACGTCAAAAGAGAACATTCGGTATTTCTACCACCCGAATTGATATTTAACAAAAACTGCCACAAGTTGAGGTATTCTTGAACATTTGTTAGAATTCCGAATTTGTTATTGGGACATCTAGGCCGCATCATGGTCACAGGGGCTCGGTTTCGGGATTCTTTCGGTTGATAATAAACCTATACACACCAGTAAATAACAGCAACACTTTTTATCCGGTGTTTAATTCTAAAACCTTATAAAAATTGAGGGTCGACCATAGTAATCTAGCTTATATGCTGCTTTCAGGCGAGCCTTGACAAAGCCTTGCAAGGTCTGCATACACTTTTGCAGGTCCACCAGGATTAATGCCCGAAAATGTTACATTTAAAAACAGACAAACCGGTTGAACCGGATACGTGAAACAGGCTTTAGAAGAAGAAGAGTTCTCACTCCATTTATCTAATTATGTGCCTAATTTTTCAGCCATCACAGGGGACATAAGTGAGTGCGCGAACGCTGCTGTGTCAGGGGATATACCATGTAAGTCATTTCACGATAGAACGATAAATAATAACGGATATTGTATAAAGAATGGAATATTTGAATTTTATTTGTTTATTCCTTTTCCCCTTTGATACTTGCACTTTCGCTTTTCGTAACAAAGAAATATATGTTATTGGACTTGGGGCGTTATGGATAACTTTTGGCCTCATAAAAAGTAAAATGTTCAACTTGAGTTTATTTACAAATTTTTGTTATAAATATCATATCTGTAAATTGTGGCTATCTTTCTTGGTGCACATTTTTTCCAATGCGCATAGGTAGATGCCCTACCATAGCAACAAAATTGCGTTGCTATGCAGGAATAGCCAAAATATGGTGTTTTTGGACAGTCAACATGCAGAAATGAAAGCCTGCTCACGTGACAAACAAAAATCCCTTTTAACGAATGAACACTGGTATGACAATGTTTAAGCATGTCAAATTTTATTTTGTTTGTTGCATGCGGAGGCTTTCAAAAATTTAAAAGTGTTTACATAATTTCCTTCAAAATGGTCAATATTACATATGGGTAATCATTTCTTAATGTTTGAATAGAGAAATCAACATTTTCGAACCAATTTTTCAAATATCTTTATTTCAACAGACATCCGGATGTGTGAGGACGCAAGAGTGACGTCAGACAGAATGATACTGGACACGCACCTTGCCGCGGCCACAGGGGAGACAACTTGCTCGTGTAGTGCTGAAACTAACGTTTCCGTTGTATTTTATCTACAATATTACGGTGTTGGTCTGAACCCTAATACAACCGGGTGTGTTAGCAGGATAGTAATAACCAGCCCGACGTCTTTTAACTCGCCATTCGAATGCAACACGTCTACATCAAATCCTCTCGTTGCCCTTCCTATGAATTTGACCTGGAGTGGAGCATCAGTTGGGGATTCAAAATACTGTATTGATATCACAAGTGAGTGAAAATCATATGTATGTTTAGCTCACCTGGCCTGAAGGGCAAAGTGAGCTTAAACCGTTAAGTTACTTAATAACCAAAAAAAAAGGGCTAGGGTGATGATATATTTGATGGGATATCAAGTATGTTCGAATGAATGAGGACATATATCTTAAATTAAAAAAAGGACTATAACTCAAGGAAGATTAGCCAAATCGCATATTTCTTTCCTCGTGCACAAATACTAAGATGTACTTTCATTCATGTATTTTAGAACACAAACTACCACCCAACCAATAACCCTACACTTTAAGTACCCCTACCATAAACAACGATCGAGATGAGCATTACACACGACTTCTTCGCAAAGCTGCGCCATATATGGCTTCAATTGCCGTGTCGACTCTGTTGGAAATTTGTCAAGTCCAGGATGTAGTCATACCAACGTGCTGTCTTTGTTCACTCCTCAAAAGAGCCGCAAACGTAAAAGTCGAGGACATCGGCATTACAATAGTCCAACCTGATACAATGTTACGCCATGAGGACCTGGTGGAAACTCCAGAAATACAATTGGGTGTTTACCATGTTTGAACCATGCTGTACAAGTGTCCTCTATCTTCATCACAAACTTTACAAAAAGTACGAATGGATTCTACTAAAACTGTTCCTGATGACATTTGGAAACTAGCTTGGAGAATTCATCAAATCATTGTGACAGCAGTTCGACTCTTTAAGCCTGTTCGAACTGATAGTTACGACTCTCCGGTAATGCCAACAAGGGGATCGATGCCACATCCAACATCAAAATTCCAAGCTAATATTCAACCAAACTTCAGACATAAAAAATTCTCCATTAATTTACTCGACTTATTCTCAACCCATTGCTTCAAAACTGTTCAACTCTCAAGCAAACGCCACATCAGCTGAATTAAGATGACCTTAGAATATCTCCTCCTGTTTTCTCTATGTCCCTAAGGTAATATGTTCCGACTGGACATGTAGGCATTGGGGATCTGCATATTATCCATAATGCAAAGTCACGTGTGCTTTTCATGAAGGGTCCTTAGTGTCGGGAAACTCCTAGTTTCAATTGGAATGTTAAGTTCGAGATACCTCTGTGGAGGACTATGACAGACAATGGGCAAGACAGGAGCATGCCGAATGGGATTCAATTTCAGAGTGGGCTAAATCCATATTATCCATAATTAAAACAATGTAGATGCTTGAAATCTAAAATGAAAACATTGTCTGTATTTTTTGACTACAATGTTAAAACCACACCTAACGTCCTGCATGCTGGGTATGTGGCTATGTCTTGCAACTAAATCTTCGTCAGCAAACACTTGCACATTACCTGCCTGCAGAAAGAACTAGGCTTGCCAGATAACCCTACCTACCTAATCGAGTTCTCGATTTGAGGACGTTGAATTATTTGGATTCGACTAGATTTATATGGTGTCAACGATGAAGCAGAAGACACCGACCCTTCCGGAACATCTAAGTCTCCAAGGGTCTCCATATAATTCCTTTCTTTGTTCATAATTTGCCGTAGTTATATCGATTTGGAGCTGGAATTCTGGTTTTGATAACACTTCGGTTGTTTTTGTCATTTTGTCATTTTGCCAAAAATGCTGCCGACTTTTCAGAAAAAATATTATTTGATATTCGTTTTTTTCACATAATTAAAGCGGACCCATCACCAGGAAGTAAACATTTTACAATGGTATGTTCTAAGCCAGGAACGACATTCACCACATTTTCCACTCGTCCAAGTACTACTAAAGCAGCTGAAACGACTGTCCAAACTACAACTGTAACAGAGACTCGTACCACGAACAGTGAAGGGACCACGTTCACGTCGGCGATGACCACTGTGTCCAACACTGACCAAGGAACATCACGACGGGCGGGCGACACGCGAACTGATACAAACCCGCAGCGCCCGAAGGACAGTGTACCGTGTAGGTATTTGTAGATTAGATCCAGAGACATAATTTTTTTATTTATTTTTTTTTATCTTGAAGATGTTACAAAAAAACAAGCTCTGTGCTGGAAAAAGTTGAATGATATTAAAGTTACGCTTATTTTATATTAACCATTTTTATATGAGATGAAACATGTCCCGAGTTTTTCTTTTCCGATACTGAAAATTTACTCATGCTAACTTTTTTATGCTCCAGTAATTATCGCGATACCAGCTGCTGTAGGAGGGTTTGTCCTTATTATCACAATAGTGATAATTGCTGTTGTCTTTTCAAAGTGAGTATATACTATTATATTGCTAACTAAAACTAATAACACATCAGAAATAAATACAGAGTGAACGAAGGCTAGCATAGATTTACCTCCCCTCCTTTCCCATCCCGCTTCTCCCGTGACCTTTAACCCTTTAACCTTGACCGATGACCACCAAATTCCAACCAGGTGTTGAGAGCAATGCTATAATGCTGTGACGTAAATATCAATGAAATTTGTCGAGGGTTTTGTGATATATATCTTGTACACAAGATTTTAACTTCAAATGTGGCAAAGTGTGAACTTTGATCGCAAAACCAGGGACAGTATATAGACTTCACTATACGTCCCTGGCAAAACTAATCTTTGTATATAAACTAATTAATTCTATACTCGCTTTAAAAATGATGTTGCATTGCTGCACTGACTAACTTTAAATATACTATGAAAAATCATTCGGAAGTCAAACTGAATATAAACGAATTGAAATAATAATGATGACATTGTTTTTTATATAACATTTATAAGTACATGTATCTTACTGGTTTCCATTGGAAACACACTGTCTACCGGGAAAATGTGGCCGCAGTTGAACTTCCGCCCTTAAATCCCGCCATACCGAGAGTGATTTTATCCTTAGACCGAATAGTAGTACAAAGTACACCATACACACCAAATGACGCGTGAAGGGCGAAATGAACACCAGATGAATGCTAATGATCGGTGATAAGTGAGTACATTGTATTTGACTGAGGAGAGGGCTTATAGAGGCTATGCCTGTTGCCCGATCCGATTGCTTTTATACTGGGCAAAAATGTCCTTGTATACAGCATACGTTACGTTTTATTTAAGGAATAGTTTTCTATGAGGTGTTAACTCCATTTAAGCACGAGTAACTATATCATGTCATATATACAATTTATCGGTATTTTTCTATAAGGGTTCATAACGGTTTCATACACAAGTCTGATCAGCGTATTTTAAAATCATTTTACGTATGATCAGTTCAAGAAAAGTGGCACAGGGAAACTTACATCTACTGTTGATGACGTCACATAGGTGTGTCTGACATTCACGGAAAATTTGCATAGCTCCACTCACATGAATTGAGGTAAACGTCATGTCACTTTCTACTTGTAAGGTTTTCAGATAAATTCAGTTGGCGTAAACGATGTTATTCCGTCTTTGCGTATTGCAGAGTTATCTTCTCTTGTGAGCAGGTATTGATTGTTACGTCATTGGTTTGTGTGAGAAAATTGCGTCGTTTTCTCAAAAATTGATGACGTAACAATCAATACCTGCTCACAAGAGAAGATAACTCTGCAATATGCAAAGACGGAATTGAATGAATGTCAATGAAGACTAAAAATTATTTTTTAACTACCGGTATCTTGTGTTGATGTAATGATAATTTTTACAGACGAACCTCTATAAATGTCATGCTAGTATAATTATATTTTTTATTTTTTAATACAAAGGAATAGTTCTGCTGTGGCTTGGTTGACAATAATAATTTACAATAAAAACTAAAACTGATGTTATTTGAAAAGATTACAGATTCTAATATGTTAACTAACGTGCTATGATATGCTAATAAAACCTGATTGGTCTGGAACACATCGTTTGAGGTAATTTTGGATGAGCTGTTATCGACTAATTCCCGCCTTACCGCTTCGGTTCACTGCTTGGCATCTTTTGTTGAATTTGACAGCTAGGTGTCCCAATAGGTTTTCTTCCGTGTCTTCTGTTTTGGAGACCAAAACTGATAAATCGCCCCTATTGTTACACCTAGCGCATCCATCGTTTTTCTCATTTACATAATCTTTTTTGGTGTGGTGTCTTCCTAAACACCAGTTGTTATTCCGTCTTTGCGTATTGCAGAATTATCTTCTCTTGTGAGCAGGTATTGATTGTTACGTCATTGGTTTGTGAGAGTAACGTCATCAATTTTTGAGAAAACGACGTAATTTTCTCACACAAGCCAATGCCGTAACAACCAATACCTGCTCAAAAGAGAAGATAATTCTGCAATACGCAAAGACGGAATATATCTAAGCTGTTGTGGGTGCCGGAACAACACAAAGCAAATACAAAACACGAAGAACTGGATACGTAGGCATTTGGTTATAATGTCAGTGTTTCAGATAACACACAAAATGATAACTATCTTACGCGACGTATATAACAGATTACATTAGTACAGGTTAACTCCCCTTGTGGAACTCGCGACTGAGACAAGGAAATGCAGAAAGGAATTTATGAATTTAAATATATATGTTCAGAGGTTGATATATAAATGAAACCCAAAGAAAGGGATTCCATGTATGCATAGGGTCAATTTTACCTTGGGCCGATTTCACTTGGGTAAATCGAGGCCGTTTTTACCTTGGGCCGATATAACCATAAATCGATACGTAAGGAAACAGTCGGACCTACACATTAATAATGTCACTCATGAAGCAAGAACAGGACCATATATATATGTTACTACCCACAGGGTGCTCAATATTTCGTGATGTACAAGCTGTCACAACGATTGAGGGAACACGCATACAAATATTTTGTGTGTGGTAGTCGTACTCCAAACTAAAATAACAGCAGCTTTATTGAGGAAGTCTGGTTTAAGGAAGCTTTAACATTGTCACAGGGGGAAAACGAATCCTTGTTTCTTTCCAAGATATATTAATAAAAAAAAATCACAAAATCACCAAAAACCTTATGAATGTAGATACCTCACCAATGCCACAACACACTAAGTCTTGTACCAACGTCAAACGCAATTTCCAATTAAATTAAAATTTATACAAAAATAAACAAAACAGTTTTACTTCTTCCTCAAACTCTTTATAAATCTCATTAATGTGCCTTAAGGTTTTATTGTCACTAACTCGGTTTTTACTTTTATATCGTGCCATTACTAAGATTTTACCTACTTGGAGTGTGTCGTCGATGAAGAAGAAGTTTACCTTTCCGAAACACCTTTTACCCTGTATCCTTGTAAAACTTTTTTCATTAGTTCAATGGATTTTGAGTTTGAATTACAGTATTGTGTACAGTTTGACTTTCCCTTGTGTCTTTTCGTTACTGCTTATCAACTCCACAACAAAGAGCAACATTATGACAATGCAATAGTTAGATTCTCGATATCCAGGGNTTACTCTCACAAACCAATGACGTAACAATCAATACCTGCTCAAAAGAGAAGATAATTCTGCAATACGCAAAGACGGAATATATCTAAGCTGTTGTGGGTGCCGGAACAACACAAAGCAAATACAAAACACGAAGAACTGGATACGTAGGCATTTGGTTATAATGTCAGTGTTTCAGATAACACACAAAATGATAACTATCTTACGCGACGTATATAACAGATTACATTAGTACAGGTTAACTCCCCTTGTGGAACTCGCGACTGAGACAAGGAAATGCAGAAAGGAATTTATGAATTTAAATATATATGTTCAGAGGTTGATATATAAATGAAACCCAAAGAAAGGGATTCCATGTATGCATAGGGTCAATTTTACCTTGGGCCGATTTCACTTGGGTAAATCGAGGCCGTTTTTACCTTGGGCCGATATAACCATAAATCGATACGTAAGGAAACAGTCGGACCTACACATTAATAATGTCACTCATGAAGCAAGAACAGGACCATATATATATGTTACTACCCACAGGGTGCTCAATATTTCGTGATGTACAAGCTGTCACAACGATTGAGGGAACACGCATACAAATATTTTGTGTGTGGTAGTCGTACTCCAAACTAAAATAACAGCAGCTTTATTGAGGAAGTCTGGTTTAAGGAAGCTTTAACATTGTCACAGGGGGAAAACGAATCCTTGTTTCTTTCCAAGATATATTAATAAAAAAAAATCACAAAATCACCAAAAACCTTATGAATGTAGATACCTCACCAATGCCACAACACACTAAGTCTTGTACCAACGTCAAACGCAATTTCCAATTAAATTAAAATTTATACAAAAATAAACAAAACAGTTTTACTTCTTCCTCAAACTCTTTATAAATCTCATTAATGTGCCTTAAGGTTTTATTGTCACTAACTCGGTTTTTACTTTTATATCGTGCCATTACTAAGATTTTACCTACTTGGAGTGTGTCGTCGATGAAGAAGAAGTTTACCTTTCCGAAACACCTTTTACCCTGTATCCTTGTAAAACTTTTTTCATTAGTTCAATGGATTTTGAGTTTGAATTACAGTATTGTGTACAGTTTGACTTTCCCTTGTGTCTTTTCGTTACTGCTTATCAACTCCACAACAAAGAGCAACATTATGACAATGCAATAGTTAGATTCTCGATATCCAGGGGTTACGCTCACTTTCGCTCTTGCACCCTGGAATATGTCATAGCAATATCGAAGGCTCAGTGTGCAGCACCTTGTGGAAAAGACGAGAAGACTAGTTTGATCCTTTGAATCTCATGGTCGCGTAACAGTAATAATTACTGGCTTTGAAGTTGGGAGTCGCTCCTTTGTTATCTTTAAAGGACAGGTATCAGCCTATAGTGACAATGACAATGACAATTGTTTTATTCTCATAAACAATGCAGTGTAGAGAATACATATATACAAATGGGTGGCAATGCAATAATACATGATGGAACAGGATGGACATTAGTATTGTAAATTAAATATGTCACTAATATTGGTAATAAATTTAACCAATGATGTCAATTCATGTTGTGTTACATAATTGAATAATGTATGATATTTAAATGTGTTTGGTCTTTCATAATAATATCTGGACATATGTTTTCGCCTACTATTGAGAATTGGTTGATGTGTACATGTAAACAGATAATGAAATTCGTCGCCAATTAAATAACATAAACTACATAATCTATTTTCACGTGGTATATTGGACCACCTACCACTTTCAATTGGTAACTTAGTATAACATGTTCTAAACTTACAATACGCTTTGGCTAGTTTCGGAGGGAGTTCTAGTAAGTACTTACAAATATATATATAGTGATTGGTCAGGTATTTTTACCCAACACCAATAAAATACATAGCCGTGTGCCTTCAATTTTGTTATGACATACTCCAGGAGTCCATATCGAATGTAAGCGTAACCCCTGGATATCGAGGATGAATTCTTTCATACGTTCTTAAGGTAATAGGATTGTGTCGCCATTTCTCAATAGAATTTCTTCAAATTTCGTAGTCATATTGCTTTGAAGAAAAGAAAATTTTCTGACACAAAAAAAGTATAGGTTGTCATAATTTTAAGGAATTTAAATGGAAATTTATGTAAAAAGGAATGACTTTTGAAAAAAAAATGAAAGACACAATTGTTTGCAAAATAATGTCAATAAAAATGCTACTACCATAGATGGTTATTGCATTAATGTATATCAATTTAATAGATGCTGAAATTATGTCAAATAAATTATCTATAAACGATTAAAAATTGACATTTTATAATAAAACCATATGCACATAGTAATTGCAGGTAAGAGTTATCTTCCTTGAAAAACTTCACAGTAGTGAAATAGGTAGCCGGTTTCCTGAAGTACAGAAAAATGGATACATGTAACTCATTGATAAAATAAAAACCTGTATTAATGCCTGCATTGCTTTGAAATACTTTAATATTGAGAGAAAACACTGTTCGGTCAATAATAAACAAACAATATTCATCAGTTTAATATTAAACATTAGAATATGCGGAAATTGTGATACTGTCTCCCT